TTGCAATCAGATTCAGTGCCATTATATGTTGAATTTTCGCCATGCAAGTCCAGCAAATTTATATTTGGGTTTATTTCTGGAAGTGCCAACTGAACTCATTTTCCACGATAGGTAGTTTATTTTGAGCACCTTCCTCCAAGTCTATTTCATTATAAAGACTTTCTGGAACATTTTCAAGTTCTCTTTGCTCAAAAACATCATATTTTCTTTGATTTTTCTCAATTATAATACGAGGGGTTATGTTCATTCCGCCAAGGATAGTAAAGCATTAACATTTCGCGAAAATACTCAACTCTGGCCAAATCTGGGTTAAAAATTCTATACCGAATAATACAAGGTTTAGTACGTTTTTTCGAAAAACCGCTACCGTCTTTAAGATGCATGACAACCCCACTTTCTGGTAAATTATCGTCTTCGCTCTCTTCTTCTTCATGATCACTGTCTTGTGTTCTTTTACTAGATTTAAAATATTTATACCTAGATGTAAAATCAGCTAAACAAAGAGTTTCTAACTGATCGGATCTTCGAACATAATGGTCTTAAATACCGGCTACGAATATTTCAGTCGAACCTGAAGGAAGGTTCTGAAGTTCCGCTCTAGGTTTTACCATTCGAACACGTTCCTCAGGTCGAGAGGTATTTATAAATATTTCTGCATTACTTGCTTCCGAAAGATGGAGCCCAATGCAGCAATATACTGCTTCTTGTGCAGATATTTCTGTGCCTGATATAAATATGTGACCTATATGTTTAAGTTTTTGCTTAATAGTATAATTTCCAGCATTTACCCCTGATATAGCTTCATTTAAGAGCCTAGAAATTCCCCTGTAAGTCTAACAGTTAAAATAATTAATTATATATTATAAACGATCCTGTAATTTTCTTTTTAGAAAAATTTTGGGTTTTGATAAACTTGACCTAAGGGCTAAAAAATAGTCATCAAGAGACATATTTATTCTACTATCAGACAAGAAATGTTCAAAATCGTTTAAATTGGAAATGTATTTTGTAGTCATATTTGAATTTAAAACGTTTTGAACTTTGAAATTGTTTTTCTTGCGTGTTTCTGAGGTTGGACTTCTTTCTGTAAGAGGTAAAGTATTTGCGTTGAAGGCATTGGTGGATATGGTATACCAAAACGACAAAACTGTTGTCCTCTTATTTCCCTAGTACAAGACCGACTGTGGTTATGCTTTTGATAACCCAAATAATTTTCTAAGTGGCTGATCGAACCATCGGTAGAAATATAATTGTCAATAAAACTAATGACATCAGGGAATGTCTGAGGATCTTGAAGGTTAATTCTGGGAGCATTATTAAGCCAATACATGCCGTGTATATGCGGGGAACCTCTCTGTTGAAACTCCACTCTCCAGTAGAAATTTGTAACAAAATGCTCTCCAAAAATGCCGGCGTTATCTTTAAAAAGCTTAAGAATTTGTCGATAGCGGTAGTCAAAATGTCTAGCACAAGTAACCGCGTCTGACCGAATTAAGCGATATCTATCTTGGGTTGTTAAACTGTTGGCTTCCTCTTCCGAAATATCTTTAGAATCAACAGTTTTAGAGAGGATGACCAAAAGCTCAACCCACTGAGATTCTGCAGCCGATAAAGTGACATAGCGATTGCCTTTTTCTTCTCAGCTTCCCAGTGCGCAGGAGAGGATCTAACGCCTTTCAAAACTTTGTAACCATCATCGTGTTGAATCAAGTTTTAACAAAATTTCGTTTTAATAGATTTTGGGCTAACTCGCTTGCGACCTGAAAACTTTCTAAGGCAAATGGATGTTCTATTCTTAATTTGTAGCAGTTCTAATTTTTGTAATCATAGAACAACTTTGGAATGGCAGCTCTTCTGTCAAACGGCGAATTTCAGAACGTATTATTTATACGTTTCAGAGCATGTACGCTTCTACAAACGTATATTGTTCCAAACAACTCTTCTGAATTATTATCTTGAATTATGTCAATTCGTCCTTGTCCTTCACCTGGCGCTATAACTAAAGATGGTCTAAGTTTCTACAGGAATATTGTCCAAAGAGTTTCTTGACCGCCGTGGGAATATTATTACCTGAGGGATTTTATGAGAAGTTTGTGCCGCATGAAAAGATTGAACCAATCGGGAATCCTCTGCAGATGCAACAAACAAAACTTCTTTTCGTTATTAAATTCTGAAATCAGTTTTTATTAAATTATATTGTGCCAAGATACAGAGGGGTATTCACTAAGAATTGCAAAGCTTCCATACTTTTGCGGGCGTTTATCGATCATGCAATCATGATTGTATTCCAAACGCCTGCTTAAGTGAATTTGTATAACATTAGCCTCATCAAAGGACCTTGGTAGAGATGTCAAAATTGTTAACAGAAATTGGATATAAACAACAGCACCTTTGAGCAAATCTAACCTTGATATCCTAACGGACGGATTGTCATTAAAGGCAATCTAGGCATTATGAGACGTTCTTCCATGGGGTCAAACATTTCAAACAATCCGGTATTTCAGGAAAGTTCAGACCGTTAGCTAAACATATTTTTGGAACGTTCTTTTAAACAATCGCATTTTGCAAGTAGCAAAAATTGTAATTTCCATCTTCTGAAGGAAATTTTTGCAATAAAAGAAGGCGGATGCAGTGTTCGGGTGACCTTGCGCAATAGTTTCGAAATAATTGCGAACTTGGTGTGAAAACCATAAGCCGCCACAGCAAATACATATATCAGTAGGGCCCTTATTTGTATTTTGAATGTTTTTGAAATCTGTTAAATTGCCACTATTATCAGTTTCTATAACATTATTTTCTCTCATTAATCGGATCTCTGGGACTGCCTTTGGTTTTCAATTTGCCTATTGAGTGGGTTATTCCTACGAAGGCGAACTGACCTTGTCTAAGACGTCTCTGATTCAAAATTTCTTCCTCCTACCCTCCTACTAAGCTGTCGACGTTGTGTTTCTCTATCACGCTCCTCTCTCCTTATATCAGGATTTCTTCTTGCATGTTCCCTTTGCATTGGATCACGAATGCGCTCTAAAGTCCTATACTCAGGATTTCTTGCGCGAAGTTCTCTATGATCCCTAGTGTTCCTACTTTGTTCATCATAACGTAGCTCGGGATTTTCTCGACGAGATCTATGATCTCGAGTATTTCTTATTTGCTCTTCAGAGCGAATTTGAGGATCTTGCCGCCTTGTTCTATGTTGAACAGTATTTAAAACTTGCTCAACATATCGTACCTCGGGATTTTCTCGATTAGATTTTGACCTCGGGTATTTCTTATTTGCTCTTCAGAGCGAATTTGGGGATCTTGCCGCCTTGTTCTATGTTGAACAGTATTTACTACTTGCTCAACAGATCGAACCTAGGGATCTTCACGCCGAGATCTATGACCTCGAGTATCTCTTATTTGCTCTCCAGAGCGAATTTGTGGATCTTGCCGCCTTGTTCTATGTTGAACAGTATTTAAAACTTGCTCAACAGATCGAACCTCGAGATTTTCGCGCCGAAATCTATGTCCCCGAGTATTTCTGCTTTGCTCTTCAGAGCGGATTTGGGGATTTAGACGTCTTGCCCTATGTTGAACAATATTTAAATTTTGTTCAAAAGACCGTACCTTAAGATTTTCCCGCCTGGTTCTATGTTGATTTATATTGCTAATTTGTTCGGACAGACGAACATCGGAATTTAACCTACGATTAGCGTGACTTACAGTATTTTGTGACTGCTCACTATCTCTATATAAAGAGTTTGCACGAAGGACTCTCATACGTCTTCTATTCTGAAGACGACTTAGTAATACAGATTTTCTACTTAATCTAGGCATAATTAATTAATAATAAATGAATTAATGTATAAAATACTTATAGATAATACTTATATAATTCAGTCCGTCCTTGTGTGAAAACCATAATCCGCCGCAGCAAATACATATTTCAGTGAGACCCTTATTTATATTTTTTAAATAAATGTTTTTGAAATCTGTTAAATTGCCACTATAATCATTTACTATAACAATATTTTCTCTCGTTAATCGAATTCGTTGGGACTGCCTTTCGATTTCAATTTGCCTATTGACCGGGTTATCTCTACAAAGGCGAACTTGACATTGTCTAAGACGTCTCTGATTCATAATTTCTTTCCTCATACCTCTCCTACTAAGCTGTCGACGTTGTGTTTCTCTATCATGCTCCTCTCTCCTTATTTCAGGATTTCTTCTTGTATGTTCTCTTTGCATTTGATCACGAATGCGCTCTAAATTTCTATACTCAGGATTTCTTGAGCGAAATTCTCTATGATCCCTAGTATTCCTACTTTGCTCATCATAACGTACCTCGGGATTTTCTCGACGAGACCTACGATCTCGAGTATTTCTTATTTGCTCTTCAGAGCGAATTTGGGGATCTTGCCGCCTTGTTCTATGTTGAACAGTATTTAAAACTTGCTCAACATATCGTACCTCGGGATTTTCTCGACGAGATCTATGACCTCG